GTGATACCTGTGTGTTGTATACAGCTACCTGTAATTAGAACAGTGATACCTGTGTGTTGTATACAGCTACCTAGAACAGTGATACCTGCATGTTGTATACAGGTACCTAGAACAGTGATACCTGTATGTTGTATACATCTACCTGTAATTAGAACAGTGATACCTGTGTGCTGTATACATCTACCTGTAATTAGAACAGTGATACCTGTGTGTTGTATACATCTACCTGTAATTAGAACAGTGATACCTGTATGTTGTATACATCTACCTGTAATTAGAACAGTGATACCTGTGTGCTGTATACATCTACCTGTAATTAGAACAGTGATACCTGTGTGCTGTATACATCTACCTGTAATTAGAACAGTGATACCTGTGTGTTGTATACATCTACCTGTAATTAGAACAGTGATACCTGTGTGTTGTATACATCTACCTGTAATTAGAACAGTGATACATGTGTGTTGTATACATCTACCTGTAATTAGAACAGTGATACCTGTGTGTTGTATACAGCTCCCTGTAATTAGAACAGTGATACCTGTGTGTTGTATACATCTACCTGTAATTAGAACAGTGATACCTGTGTGTTGTATACAGCTACCTAGAACAGTGATACCTGTGTGTTGTATACATCTACCTGTAATTAGAACAGTGATACCTGTGTGTTGTATACATCTACCTGTAATTAGAACAGTGATACCTGTATGTTGTATACATCTACCTGTAATTAGAACAGTGATACCTGTGTGTTGTATACAGCTACCTAGAACAGTGATACCTGTGTGTTGTATACATCTACCTGTAATTAGAACAGTGATACCTGTGTGTTGTATACAGCTACCTAGAACAGTGATACCTGTGTGTTGTATACATCTACCTGTAATTAGAACAGTGATACCTGTGTGCTGTATACAGCTACCTAGAACAGTGATACCTGTGTGTTGTATACATCTACCTGTAATTAGAACAGTGATACCTGTGTGCTGTATACAGCTACCTAGAACAGTGATACCTGTGTGTTGTATACATCTACCTGTAATTAGAACAGTGATACCTGTGTGCTGTATACATCTACCTGTAATTAGAACAGTGATACCTGTGTGTTGTATACAGCTACCTAGAACAGTGATACCTGTGTGTTGTATACATCTACCTGTAATTAGAACAGTGATACCTGTGTGTTGTATACATCTACCTGTAATTAGAACAGTGATACCTGTGTGTTGTATACATCTACCTGTAATTAGAACAGTGATACCTGTGTTATATATAACTACCTGTAATTAGAACAGTGATATCTGTGTGTTGTATACAGCTACCTGTAATTAGAACAGTGATACCTGTGTGTTGTATACAGGTACCTGTAATTAGAACAGTGATACATGTATGTTGTATACAGCTCCCTGTAATTAGAACAGTGATACCTGTGTGTTGTATACATCTACCTGTAATTAGAACAGTGATACCTGTGTGTTGTATACATCTACCTGTAATTAGAACAGTGATACCTGTGTGTTGTATACATCTACCTGTAATTAGAACAGTGATACCTGTGTGTTGTATACATCTACCTGTAATTAGAACAGTGATACCTGTGTGTTGTATACATCTACCTGTAATTAGAACAGTGATACCTGTGTGCTGTATACATCTACCTGTAATTAGAACAGTGATACCTGTGTGTTGTATACAGCTACCTAGAACAGTGATACCTGTGTGTTGTATACATCTACCTGTAATTAGAACAGTGATACCTGTGTGCTGTATACAGCTACCTGTAATTAGAACAGTGATACCTGTGTGTTGTATACATCTACCTGTAATTAGAACAGTGATACCTGTGTGTTGTATACATCTACCTGTAATTAGAACAGTGATACCTGTGTGTTGTATACAGCTACCTAGAACAGTGATACCTGTGTGTTGTATACATCTACCTGTAATTAGAACAGTGATACCTGTGTGTTGTATACAGCTACCTAGAACAGTGATACCTGTGTGTTGTATACATCTACCTGTAATTAGAACAGTGATACCTGTGTGTTGTATACAGCTACCTGTAATTAGGACAGTGATACCTGTGTGTTGTATACAGCTACCTGTAATTAGAACAGTGATACCTGTGTGTTGTATACATCTACCTGTAATTAGAACAGTGATACCTGTGTGTTGTATACATCTACCTGTAATTAGAACAGTGATACCTGTGTGTTGTATACATCTACCTGTAATTAGAACAGTGATACCTGTGTGTTGTATACATCTACCTGTAATTAGAACAGTGATACCTGTGTGTTGTATACATCTACCTGTAATTAGAACAGTGATACCTGTGTGTTGTATACAGCTACCTGTAATTAGAACAGTGATACCTGTGTTATATACAACTACCTGTAATTAGAACAGTGATACCTGTGTGTTGTATACAGCTCCCTGTCATTAGAACAGTGATACCTGTGTTATATACAGCTACCTGTAATTAGAACAGTGATACCTGTGTGTTGTATACAGCTACCTGTAATTAGAACAGTGATACCTGTGTGTTGTATACAGCTACCTGTAATTAGAACAGTGATACCTGTGTGTTGTATACAGCTACATGTAATTAGAACAGTGATACCTGTGTGTTGTATACAGCTACCTGTAATTAGAACAGTGATACCTGTGTGTTGTATACATCTACCTGTAATTAGAACAGTGATACCTGTGTGTTGTATACATCTACCTGTAATTAGAACAGTGATACCTGTGTGTTGTATACAGCTACCTAGAACAGTGATACCTGTGTGTTGTATACATCTACCTGTAATTAGAACAGTGATACCTGTGTGTTGTATACATCTACCTGTAATTAGAACAGTGATACCTGTGTGTTGTATACATCTACCTGTAATTAGAACAGTGATACCTGTGTGTTGTATACATCTACCTGTAATTAGAACAGTGATACCTGTGTGTTGTATACAGCTACCTAGAACAGTGATACCTGTGTGTTGTATACATCTACCTGTAATTAGAACAGTGATACCTGTGTGTTGTATACATCTACCTGTAATTGGAACAGTGATACCTGTGTGTTGTATACATCTACCTGTAATTAGAACAGTGATACCTGTATGTTGTATACATCTACCTGTAATTAGAACAGTGATACCTGTGTGTTGTATACATCTACCTGTAATTAGAACAGTGATACCTGTGTGTTGTATACATCTACCTGTAATTAGAACAGTGATACCTGTGTGTTGTATACAGCTACCTGTAATTAGAACAGTGATACCTGTGTGTTGTATACAGCTACCTAGAACAGTGATACCTGTGTGTTGTATACATCTACCTGTAATTAGAACAGTGATACCTGTGTGTTGTATACATCTACCTGTAATTAGAACAGTGATACCTGTGTGTTGTATACATCTACCTGTAATTAGAACAGTGATACCTGTGTGTTGTATACAGCTACCTAGAACAGTGATACCTGTGTGTTGTATACATCTACCTGTAATTAGAACAGTGATACCTGTGTGTTGTATACATCTACCTGTAATTAGAACAGTGATACCTGTGTGTTGTATACATCTACCTGTAATTAGAACAGTGATACCTGTGTGTTGTATACATCTACCTGTAATTAGAACAGTGATACCTGTGTGTTGTATACATCTACCTGTAATTAGAACAGTGATACCTGTGTGTTGTATACAGCTACCTAGAACAGTGATACCTGTGTGTTGTATACATCTACCTGTAATTAGAACAGTGATACCTGTGTGTTGTATACATCTACCTGTAATTAGAACAGTGATACCTGTGTGTTGTATACATCTACCTGTAATTAGAACAGTGATACCTGTGTGTTTTATACAGCTACCTGTAATTAGGACAGTGATACCTGTTGTATACATCTACCTGTAATTAGAACAGTGATACCTGTGTGTTTTATACAGCTACCTGTAATTAGAACAGTGATACCTGTGTTATATACAGCTACCTGTAATTAGAACAGTGATACCTGTGTGTTGTATACATCTACCTGTAATTAGAACAGTGATACCTGTGTGTTGTATACAGCTACCTAGAACAGTGATACCTGTGTGTTGCATACAGCTACCTGTAATTAGAACAGTGATACCTGTGTGCTGTATACAGCTATCTGTAATTAGATCTGAGAATTGTTTATAGTATTAGGTTAGGTTTTGACTTTGTATTCATAGTATACATTTTGTATAATTGTTAGTTGTTTAGACAAAGCCTAACTCCACTGATGGGAAGAGCCATCAATAATTGATACAATGAATGGAAATATTTACTGAACTGAGTCTCTGGTAGCCATAACGCTGGAGTGTGTGCTTTGTTATTCAGCATTCCATTATAGAATTATCAGAGTATAGCTACAGCTTATAACTTACCAACCCAAGTTACTGTGAGTACATGTCAAAATTAACTCTGTCCTTATCTGTATAAATTGTTTGATCCCCACTGCAGAATGATTGACAAATTTTAGGATATTTCATTTGCAGGATAGATGGATGTTAACTTTACTCAATAATTGATGTGGTACAATGTATGTTGTGTATTAATAGAATAAGCCACTTTATTTAGGCCCTTATCAATCATTTGATTCAATCAATAAATTCAATGTACTACAAACCAAAAAATAATAATGACAGAGGATTTCTCAGGAATTGGTAAAAATGAGGCACCATTTTATGTGTATAAATGAAGCACTTATATACCCTGTCTAATTCCTCATTAGGTATATACCAACATGTGAAGGTTGTCATGTTTATGTATTGCTACTCCATACCATTGTTCCAGCTCTAGGTTATTAAAGTTTGTTTTCAGGAGATACACTGTGTTCTCCAAGAATCCTATAGTGTAATAACACTCCCCATGACAGCATTATGTTATCATGTTATCTACTTAATCTTCACACTAAATTATGATTAAATAATGCATGTATTTACAAAAAAATCTATCCATTTGTACTTTTTCAGATTACCGATTCAAAAGGGATGAAATCTTCAAACGAATGAAAGTGACAACATTTGTTCAGTTGGTAAGATTAAAATTTTACTTGATGTAACTGTTGGTGTTTTTTAAACTTTAATTTTGTGTATTTAAAACTAGACTGATAACCTCTAAAGCAAATCAAGGACATTGAAATCAATTAAATAAGAGTCCAGTTAGGTCTAGGTTGTGTGTAAAAAAGATGTTGAAGTATGATGGGATCTTATGATGGAAATGTCACATAACCAATTTGTTGAAGTATGATGGAATCTGATGATGGAAATGTCACTTTACCAATTTGTTGAAGTATGATGGGATCTGATGATGGAAATGTCATGACACCAATTTGTTGAAGTATGATGGGATCTGATGATGGAATTGTCATGACACCAATTTGTTGAAGTATGATGGGATCTGATGATGGAAATGTCATGACACCAATTTGTTGAAGTATGATGGGATCTGATGATGGAAATGTCATGACACCAATTTGTTAAAGTACAATGGGATCTGATGATGGAAATGTCATGACACCAATTTGTTGAAGTTTGCTGGGATCTGATGATGGAAATGTCATGACACCAATTTGTTGAAGTATGATGGGATCTGATGATGGAAATGTCATGACACCAATTTGTTGAAGTAGGATGGGATCTGATGATGGAAATGTCACTTTACCAATTTGTTGAAGTATGATGGGATCTGATGATGGAAATGTCACTTTACCAATTTGTTGAAGTACGATGGGATCTGATGATGGAAATGTCATGACACCAATTTGTTGAAGTAGGATGGGATCTGATGATGGAAATGTCATGACACCAATTTGTTGAAGTAGGATGGGATCTGATGATGGAAATGTCACTTTACCAATTTGTTGAAGTATGATGGGATCTGATGATGGAAATGTCATGACACCAATTTGTTGAAGTATGATGGGATCTTATGACATCAATGTCACATCACCAATTGTTGAAGTAGGATGGGATCTGATGATGGAAATGTCACTTTACCAATTTGTTGAAGTAGGATGGGATCTGATGATGGAAATGTCACTTTACCAATTTGTTGAAGTATGATGGGATCTGATGATGGAAATGTCATGACACCAATTTGTTGAAGTATGATGGGATCTGATGATGGAAATGTCATGACACCAATTTGTTGAAGTATGATGGGATCTTATGACATCAATGTCACATCACCAATTGTTGAAGTATGATGGGATCTTATGACATCAATGTCACACCACCAATTTGTTGAAGTATGATGGGATCAAATGAAGGATGATGATGTCCTTGTCTATTAGTGTATGTGTGATATGTACAGAGGGTGTTATCTCTATCGGTATCTGGATACCAACTCAGTATCAAGATACAGAATTAGTTTACATACAATTTCTAACAAGGATGAGTGATCCATAAAATGATGAATGATCAAGGTAGCCAAACTGAACATGTCTAATTTATCATACATATGCAGAGTTTTCAGACACTTAGGGATCACTTTGTCTGTCGTCACACGTTCTCTGAATTCATCCACATTGCATTTTCTGGTAAATAGAAGTTTTAATGGTTTGTTTCTCTCCTGTTTCCTAGTTGGTACAAGTTGCTGATTATGACCAGGAAGCCAGTTCAAATTACAGTAAGTTGAAATGTCAAACTAGACTTCATTTTAGTTGTTTATTATGTGAGGCTGTATGGTATCCTATAAATATTAAAGTGATGTACTTTTTAACATGATAAATAAGTTTACCATTCAAAGTGATATCCTTCTATTATAAAAAGTTTATCAGGTTCTGAGAGATACTTTTATTGAGGTATGTTTATCAGATGGAGAGACATACTGTACCCATGATATTTCTTAGTTTGTAATTCTCTAGAATCCTTACTACATGCATCTGATATACATATGTATAAGTTATTATTCCCCCTTTGGTAACAAATTACCTGTGACTGGAACTTCATGCTTGGGCCATAGGAAGGTCAAAGGGAAGCACTATGTAATACATCAAAAACAGTAATATTTTAGGAAGTGGTTTGATGTAGATTGTGGTGTAACTTGTGTACATAAACCTTTGATTATTATGTACAGCGAATGGCCAATATACAGACAGGACAAACACAGATGGACCCTACTCAGATCGACCAGACACCGCTGACAGAGAGGTCCTGAAAATCCAGGAGAAAGGAAATTCTCCTCGCCTCACAGAACGGAATGGGGGAGCTGGAGACACAGATAGAAGTCGATCCAAATTACAGAAGTAAGTTACATACAAAAAAAGAGCAAGTGCTTTCTGAAATTTCTCCATTTCTGAAAATAGGCTAAAAATTCCCTTTTTTCACAATGGATAATGCTCCCGAAATTCTAGATTAAAGAATGAGATTATGGGTCAAATGACAGCTTCAATTTGAAAAAAGTTATTTTCAAACAGCAACTCAAAATTTTTATTGTGATATAAAAATTATTATTGTTTGTAAGATAGGATAAAAGTTGGCATATAATGGTACTGTTGCAAGCTCCTAACTGTAATAATAAGACATGTATTTTCAGTGTTGTAACAGGTGAAGGGGAGATTCGTGAAGATAAACCACAGACTCTCAAGGTGACACACGACTGTCCGTACTTGTTACTGGATGTAAGAGATAATGATGACTACAAAGAGTGTCATATTATAACAGGTAAACTATTCTTTGTTACTTCCATAGATAGATAGTCTGTAAAACATGCAGGTAATCTCTTCTTACTACCATAGTTATATAGTCAGTGAAACATGCAGGTAATCTCTCATTACTAACATAGATATATAGTCAGTAAAACATACAGGTAATCTCTCCTTACTACCATAGATATATAGTCAGTGAAACATACAGGTAAACTTTCCTTACTACCATATATATATAGTCAGTAAAACATACAGGTAATCTCTCCTTACTACCATAGATATATGGTCTCCACAAACCAGATACAGTCTCCACAAACCAGATATAGTCTCCACAAAACAGTTATAGTCTCCACAAACCGGATATAGTGTCCATAAACCAGATATAGTCTCCACAAACTAGTTATAGTTTCCACAAACCAGTTATAGTCTCCACAAACCAGTTATAGTGTCACCAAACCAGATATAGTCTCCACAAACTAGTTATAGTCTCCACAAACCGGATATAGTGTCCATAAACCAGATATAGTCTCCACAAACCAGTTATAGTCTCCACAAACCAGTTATAGTGTCACCAAACCAGATATAGTCTCAACAAACTAGTTATAGTTTCCACAAACCAGTTATAGTCTCCACAAACCAGTTATAGTGTCACCAAACCAGATATATTCTCAACAAACTAGTTATAGTTTCCACAAACCAGTTATAGTCTCCACAATCCAGTTATAGTGTCACCAAACCAGATATAGTTTCCACAAACCTGATACAATTTCCACAAACCTGATATTATTACAACAAAACAGTTATAGTGTCCACAAACCAGATATAGCCTCCACAAAACAGTTATAGTCTCCACAAACCGGATATAGTGTCCATAAACCAGATATAGTCTCCACAAACTAGTTATAGTTTCCACAAACCAGTTATAGTCTCCACAAACCAGTTATAGTGTCACCAAACCAGATATAGTCTCCACAAACTAGTTATAGTCTCCACAAACCGGATATAGTGTCCATAAACCAGATATAGTCTCCACAAACCAGTTATAGTGTCACCAAACCAGATATAGTCTCCACAAACTAGTTATAGTTTCCACAAACCAGATATAGTTTCCACAAACCTGATACAGTTTCCACAAACCTGATATAGTCTCCACAAACCAGATATAGTCTCCACAAACCAGATATAGTCCCCACAAACTAGTTTTTAGTTGTATACTGACCATATAAAACCATCATCACTTGAATTGTAATGATGAAACAATGTTTTCTGATCATTTCAGCAAGGAATTACCCAACGATTATGTTATCAAGAGCTTATGACTCTGACACCAAGGAAATGCTTGCCTATGTATCCTTTTATAATCAGATAAGTTTTCTCTCTGCACCCCCGGAACATGTCGTAGCAAAATTGAAGGCACAAAGTTATTCTATTGGTTTAGGAGAAAAAACTCACCAGTCACAGACTGATACATTCCTTTTGAAGATTATGAAAGGGCAATATCCCAACTTCAAAGCCTCTACAATACATATATATATATACTAAACAAAAAAAGAAAGGTAACACTACTTTATTCTATGATTAATTAATTAACCCCATCATAAATCCTTACCAGTCATGTACGAATAAAGTAATTGATCAATTCTGATAAAACTGTAGTCATGGTTCATTATAAAACTTTGCGTTCAGTTGATTTTATTCGACTGTAAATGACGTTGGGGTCAATTTCAAAGATAACACCATTAGTAACGGGTATGGACTTTTTGCAAAGTAAACAGCATTGCAGCGTTGTCGCATGGAACTCGTAAACCGGCGGAAAATTCGAGGAGAGGTGTTGCGCTTCATTCAGCGATCAAGGCTTGGGCCAGCTCCTGCAAGTGTGACGGCTGATTTTGACGTTCTCTCACGCGTCGCCCAAGAACGTCCAAGACATGACCAATCGGTGACAAATCAGGTGATTTTGATGGCCAATCTAACACCTGTACATTATTCTGCTGCAAGAAAGTTCTGCTGACGCGACTGGTGTGTGCTGGTGTGTTATCCTGTTGAAAAATGGCGCCAACACCATGGCGTCTTAAGAATGGTAGAACCACTGGTCTTAAAATATCGTCCCGATATCGAATGCCGGCTAAATTGCCATTTAACACAACAAGCCTGGTACGAGTCCCACCACAAATACCTCCCCAAACCATTACACTTCCGCCGCCAAAGCTGTCCCGTTCTGTGATGCATCAGTTCGCAAAACGCTCCCCTCGTCGCCTCCACACTCTGCACCTTCCGTCACCGAAAACAGAACATTGTTCCATTGTTGTAAGGCCCAACGACAGTGAACACGGGTCCAGTTACGCCGATTATTACGGTGACGTCGCAACAAATTGGGTCCAGTGTAGGGACGCCACGCTTTCAATTGGTAGGCCCTCAACCTGTTGCGGACTGCTTGGGGAGACACATGACGCCCAAACAATGTCCTTGTAGTCTCTACTGCGGTTACGAATCGATTGCGCAAGTGTATCAATCGTATACGACGGTCATCCCTGGCGGTCGTTTTACGGAGTCGGCCGCTTCAAGGACGATCGGATGTTGACCCAGTTTGGTTTAAACGACTTACCAACTGGCAAATTGTCTTAACACTGCAACCAAAATGCCGTGCAACTCGACGGCGAGACTCCCCAGCCCTTTCTCTCTGTACTTGTGACAGCCGGGGCATAATGATAAAGTTGATATATAGCAAGATTCGGTGATTTCTAAGTCCTAAGGATCTAAGGAACGGTTGTCAGTTTGAATATGTATGAAATTCAAGCGAAGATACAAGTTAGTTGCAGAAAACCTCGTGCAGCTCTTTCGCTAATACAGACTTTCACGCTTGAATGATTTTGGTAACCCCCTTGGATTTTGTAATGTAAAACGTTACCATTTTCTAATGTTGCACAAACGTCATTTTGTTTCCACTCATTTACAGGTATTCGCCAAGGAAACATGTTAACCTTTATTTTTTTGTTGAGTATATATTCCATTACGCATCTTTGAGATTTGTTTCATATACATTAAAGAATCAAAGTAGCTTTTTCATCATGTCACTCATGGATCAAGCCTTCAATTTTACCATGACATGAGAACAGAGGTGAAGAGAGCAAAAGTGACCCCAGGAGTTTTGATGATGTCTAACCCTTCAAGGAGAGGGAAAAATTGTACCTACTGACCCAGCCCATTGGATGATTTTAAGAGCCAATTTAATCTGAAGATCAATCTTTTCTCTTCTTTTTAAGCAAGTTTATTTTTCTTTTTAATGTCTTCTTTGAAATGGCCTCAAATTTGACTTAAAGTTTGTCCCTTTTAGGAGGCCGTTGGGTTTTGTCCCTTGAACAAGACAAATGAGTGTATAAAATGGTAGATAGTACATCCTAATGAAGCTATGCATTGTGTTAGTGTAATGGCAGGTTTGCCCGTTGTGTGACTTGCTACAAACATAAAAGGAGCAAGATTTTACCATGCATGTGACTTTTGTCTTCTTGTTCTGATTTGCTGCAGGTAGTGACCCATGCACAAGTGCTAAACTTTGTCATTTTCCCAAATTTATATTACCACTCAACTTTTTAATGCCACTGAATTGACAAGACTGTCCGTAGGATCAGGGCAGTTTGTGATCTGTCACTGGTTCATATGACACGTATTTAGACAAAATATTTAGCGGTTTCTAAACATTTTATTGATCTTAAAATTATATACTAGGCATCTATATTTTGTTAACTTTCATTACTGTTGTGTTTTAAATTACACAGCATGGTAAGAAAAACATGTCTGCAAAGTTAACTAAAGTCAAAGTATGGTTTAGGTATGATATGATAGAGTTATCTCCCTTAACTGCTTTATCAGAAAAACCAAACTGGGAAGATAATTGTGTTGTATGATGAAGATGAGACTTTAGCACATAATGCTGCAACAACTCTAGTTCAGAGAGGTTATGACAATCTGTTCCTTCTATCAGGTGGTAAGTCAAATTTTACTGTGCATGTTGTGATCATATGAAAAATTGTGCAAAACACTTTTTATTTTTCGTTCAGCCATAGCCATACATACTTGAAAGATTATTCCTTCACGACACAGACTCCCTGTCATTAGTGAACCAGTCATTGTTTTAATGAAGATACAGTATGATTTTCTTCATTCTCTTGAGGATTTGATGTTCAGTTTAATTAAGTCAGTATCAAAGTTTTACTTGTTAACCAGTCACATACTTTCAAATTGTCTTTCTGGTAGAGAAACAACAATGCTTTTTGAAGTCAACTGATTTCCAGAACAACTAATATATGTTTTTGTTAGTTAGTTGTTTGTATTAGAAGAACAATATTCATTGATCATACAACTGTGAAATGTTTTGGAGATATTTACTGTACATAGAATATTGGATAGAATATACTAACTAGCAGAAAATAATGTGATTATAGAATATCAAAAATTCAAACTTCAGTATCATAAACTGTCTACATTAGAGTCATCGTGAGAGGACCAGGGATATCTGCGTTTTTGGAAATAATATTGATGAGATTGTAGTTTGCTTGTTATTTTTCGAATTGTGGGTATTTATTGAAGACGCAATAACTTGCATAGATGATAGACATCTGACATATTATGTGCAGGCATGCGAGTGGCCTATAAAGCATTTCCTGATGGCCTGTTCACTGGCACTCCAAAACAGAGTGTGACTGAGGCCAAACAAGCTCCTACAGTAAAGGTTCCTGCAAGTAAAGATAGATTATCTGAGGGAGACATTGACAAGCTTCACATGTACCTTGACAGTGCCCTCTCCGATCGCAGTGTTGGTAGTAAGTATTCTATCTTTGTGGTTTATCAGTTGCTTGTGGTAGCTTGTAACAGAATTTTAAGGTTGGTCGGGTAGCACATTGGTAATGTACTCGCCTTTCACTTAACCATCTGGAGTTTGATTCCTGGAATGGATGTGAAAAGGTATGGGGTTACCTGCCCGACCATGTGGGTTTTCTTCGAGTACTCCAGTTTCCTCCCACAGTTAAGACCCCTTGGATGCGTCCATCCGTGCCACAAGAGTGATTAATATAAGTTGGAAAAACTTCTTTCGCAATGGTTGTATAATAAATAGAATTTATTATTATTATTTATGATAACAGATCTTTTAAAGTGTGTGATCTTTGCCTAAATAATGCAGGGTTTGTAGTATAAAGTTAGAATGACTTTCTATCCCAATTATCAGATATTTTTTCTACAGTAAACTTCAGTGTGAGGTGAATTAACAGGATAACTTCGAAGAGCAACAGTGTTCAGATATAGGTTAATGTAATTGTAATGTGTGATTTGTAGGTCGGCTCTCCAATGCCAGTACATCATCCAGTCGAATTGGTGGAGCGTCACAAATGTCCAAGGCCAGTAAACCAGAGTGGGCAGTGAAGAATCGTGCTCCATTCAAATGACGATCTGATTGTCTTAGTGTTGTCAGGTAAGGCTTAATTATACCAGTAAACCTGAGTGGGCAGTGGAAGGCCGTACTCCATTCAAATGACGATCTGATTGTCTTAGAGTTGTCAGGTAAGGCTTAATTATACCAGTAAACCAGAGTGGGCAGTGGCGAACAGTGTTCCATTCAAATGACGATCTGATTGTCTTAGTGTTGTCAGGTAAGGCTTAATTATACCAGTAAACCTGAGTGGGCAGTGAAAGGCCGTACTCCATTCAAATGACGATCTGATTGTCTTAGAGTTGTCAGGTAAGGCTTAATTATACCAGTAAACCAGAGTGGGCAGTGAAGAACCGTGCTCCATTCAAATGACGATCTGATTGTCTTAGTGTTGTCAGGTAAGGCTTAATTATACCAGTAAACCTGAGTGGGCAGTGAAAGGCCGTACTCCATGCAAATGATGATCTGATTGTCTTAGTGTTGTCAGGTAAGGCTTAATTATACCAGTAAACCAGAGTGGGCAGTGAAAGGCCGTACTCCATTCAAATGATGATCTGATTGTCTTAGTGTTGTCAGATAATGCTTAATTATACCTAATTACACCTGTCAACCCTTGCTGTTTTGGAGGGGTATGGGAGAGGGTATCCTAATTCTGTCCTTCACTGTTTTATTTAGGAATGAGAGGGTGTGCGGGTGTGGGGGAGTATTATACTTTTGTCATTTTTGTGCATTTTTATTTTGGGAGGAGGATGTAAAACACTGTTGATACTTTTTCAGTTGTTGTGTTATTTTGCTGCTTTGGGGAGGAAAATTGATGGAAATCAAAATCATGAAACAAAAGCAGGAACTTTTTCATGTTTATAAAACTACTTCATTTTTACTCAAAGCTACCATATAACCTCTAACATTTAACCATAAAAACCTAGTTACTAAATAGTATTACATAAGTTTGTCCTTGCCTTTCCCATCCAGAATAAATTCTATGTTTATGTTTAATGTTTTTACAGTTTTTGATCAAATTTGTCAATGATTATGATTATATGAAAAAGTATTTTTAAAGCTGACTTTTCGTTCATTAGGATACCTGATCAGTACGGTTAGTGAAAGTCTTGGACAGTCTCACAAGATGATGAATGGACCCATTGGTGTCAGAAGTACCTCATATATATATTTATACAGCAGTAGAATGTGTGTGTGCCTTTACAAGCTGCATCAACCTGTTAAAGAACAGAAGACCACCCATCTGTTTCATCTGTTATACAGATCACCATGTATGCAATAAGTGTCAACTATCTCAGAAACATGAAAAGTCTTGAAATTTGGTTTTTATATTGCAGATTGCATTGGTAAATGAACAAAATGTTCATGGTTTTCGGGAAAAAATCCATCATTGTCAAAATCCTCAAATACAATACTTTATGCAGAAATGAGTAAGATGCTGTTGGACTTACTATAAAGTGTTGGAATCTATCAGGATTTTTTAATCTGACCAGCTGAGTATTCTGATCTCATGTAGTTGTTGGTAAACTCCGTCCATTGCTGAAATTTATTGAAAGGTTATCATGTAGATTTATCTCTTTATCACAAGTTTTTATTTACTACTGAAGATTTATCAGCTCAAATCAAATATTATTAACATTTCATTGAAAATGATGAGGGTATGTAAGGCGTTGATATTGGAGGTTTTCTCAGCACTTAAGTATAGAGCTGATTATTAACAACATTGTGCGTGATTGTAAGTAAGTGTGTAAGGTTATCACATCTGTATTTGTGTCATGATGAAATTTACAACATGTACAATGAGGAGGCTGTCTATTTTTTTTATTTATGTTGTATTATATTTCTTTGTTTTGACAAATGTGTGACCTTGATGTGAAAGGTTCTTACGGAGATTTATCTGCCCTTGCCTTTCTATAACTTTTACTATGCAAATTTTATCACTTGCATGCATCTCACGGCATTTTGAATATCACTTGATAAGATTGAATTTCACCATATTCTTGACTTTCTTGCTTATCTATACATAAAATTACCTAGGTATACTCTATATTTTTTCTGTGTTTCCACTGCCATTTAAAATGAGAGTATTAGAGGGATGTTGAGAGTTGTGTATTTAATGTGTTAGATGAGAATTGTGTATTTAAAGTATTAGGAAAAAAATTTGAAGACTGAGTATTGTAGACAGTGTAAGTGTCAGTCCTTTATCTTAACAAGAGAACTATATGCTGTTTTCTTCAGTTAAAGGAGGATGGGAGGTGTGCATTTTTTATGTCCTTTAGTATGAATGAGAACTGTAATTTTGTGTAAATAGTACATGAGAGGTTTCAGTGTTGCTCTGCTATTACAGAGTAAATGAGAGTTCAAATGTTATCATTGGTTTAAAGGACTAATAGCAGTGAGAGACGAGTATTCCTCACAACAAATGATATATATTTATCAGCCAAAGCAACACAGAGACAATGCTACATTTGTAACATCATAAGTTAAACTATTTCTATCTCAATCTGGCAATTCAAGAGATTTTTTTATCAGTTGTATTTTTTCCTGAATAATGAAATATTCTGACAGATATTCATCTGAGATTGCACTGTTCACAACCAATTTATAAAGGATTGTTTTCAATTATTTTTTTTTATTATTAGTGATGAAAATTTATCAATAACTGAAGAAAATGGTGAAATCTTAAGAGTGCTGATCTGATTTTGTAGCTGTGAATTAGTAACTCATCTGTCAAATTAAAAAAAAAATGCATCACTGATATTTGCAAATTGTTGAAGGCTTGTATATTTTTATCTGTACATAAATGTGAGCATCGCTTATATGTTATCAATAAATATCATTATTCCAGCAGTGTTTTGTTACTTTATGATTCTCTGTCAACATTGATTGTGGTATTTACCTTTGTAAGTATTTAAATACCAAGATATCAAATACATAGAGCATAAAAGTTTGGCTGTTACTGGTCAACAAACCAATAAGTAAGAAGAAACATGTATCATGGGCTTGTTGCTCTTTAATTCTTAGTTTGTTGTTTAACTCCAATAGCTCAGCATACCAGGAGGTATCCAAACCAGGGATACAAGGGACTAACAGAACTTTTCCTAAATCTAAGATATCCAATAAATACTGTAATAGATAGGAAGATTCTTATTTTTATGACTGAACTTTGGACACAATTAACACATAATTGTTTAATTAGCCCACCATCATCAAATGTACTGTTCAAATCACCTTGCCTCTGTGGTTTCTCCACCAGTCCTTAAACAATTCTTGTTTTCTCAGTTTCTGGAGTGGCACTGAATGGATCCTTTTCATATTTCAAATGTAGTCATGTGACCAATGTGTCCCTAGTTGTAAATTGTCCCATTTGCAGTCTTATTCAAAGAACAACATGACTGACAGTTGTCCATTATTGTTTTTGACATAATAATTTGTTATTGTATGTTCTAGTGACATACTGGGTTAATCTTTTTTCAGATTTCCTATTAAGATTTCCCTAGGTCCCAAGTTGTGCATTGTCACACTGGACTGATCCAGTGAAAAAAACAAACAAAAACATGGCCAATAGTGAGGTTTCTTTGATTTTTAACAGTAATAGCTGGTTATCACTCTTATTTTGGAGAAGTTTGTCTCTAGCTTAATCTTTTCTGATTTTGGGACTGATCAGAAAAAAGATCAGTCTGATTAGAGAAACAAAATGTGGGACAGGGTAGTCGTGGATTTTACATTAAAAGTTTTTTCCTTTTTTCTTGAGAAATACTTAATGGACCTCTCTAGAATTATATCTGTAGGGTTTTAATGGTCCTTTTCTGTGCTCCTTGGATTTTGGGACTGTCAGAAAATTTAAGTAGCAAAAAGGAGGAAAGATGAAAAAAGAAGGGAAAAGATCCAAGTTTTAAAGAACAAAATAATGTTGGATGCCAAGATCCCTGTTGGATCTTTGGTACATATGTGTTGAATGATTCTGTCACTTCATTTCTAAAATACCAGGATGTTGCTTACATGTAGAAACTAACTTTCAGAATTTTCATATGGTTTAATGTATTAGACTGAATTATTGGAATTAACCTACCACCAAGTGTTGGAAATACTAACAGTGGCCTTATAGAAGCTTAATTTGTTGTCAATTCAATTTAATTGCCTTGTTAAAATTTAAGATTATATAAAAGACGGGTATTTATGAAAATACATAAAGACAGGAATTTATTACTGTATATATTAAGTGCAAAACAATGAAGAAAACTGTAAATTGCAACTGTTTTGTCTTTCCAGGATTCTTCAGTACTTCTACAGACTAAAGCTGGAAATTAAGAGTAATTTAAGAAAGTTTGCCAAAGAGGGAAAATAAAAAAGGCGAACTAATTGAAAATTGAATCAGTTTGGTGATTTTAAATATCCAATCATGACAAATGATTGTAAAATGCCTGGTTTTGTTATCCTCAGAATTCAAAAAAGGACATGCAGAGTAGAGTTACAACAAAACTGAGGACTTAAGATTCACCAAACTGCATGAGCTTCACACCTTTTTGTTTAGAAGACAGTACAAAAACATATGAGTACCTTTAGATCACCAATAGATAGAGTTGACAAAATTACAATGATCTTCCTATGTCTTTTTGCAGACACATGACAATATGGTCAATCTCGTGATGCTCTTTTGGATTATGCCTTAGTTAGGAAAAAAAGGAAACCACATTTCTCTGAGGATCGGACGTATTGTTTATCATATCGGCAGACATTTATGGTATGTGGTGATCTCAATGCCTTTTAGCTTGTAACTACTTTCGGAAGAACAGACCATGTTTCTATCAGATAGCACACTACCTCTATGTAAGAAATCAGGACACAGGACTTGTAATATTACTTCTTAAAAAATAAAAATTATCCTCGAGGATTATTGATGCAACATAACATTGATAAATCTGTACAAAGGCAGCACAAGACCTTAAACAATACAAGTACATCCTAACACTACCGCGAGACGGATTAATACTCTAGTTTAGTCAGACTGATACCCTAGTTTTGTCAGATCGATACCCTAGTTTTGTCAGATCGATACACTAGTTTTGTCAGATCGATATCCTAGTTTTGTCAGTCCGATATCCTAGTTTTGTAAGAGTGATACCCTAGTTTTATAAGACTGATACCCTAGTTATGTCAGACCGATACCCTAGTTTTGTCAGACCGATACCCTAGTTTTGTCAGACCGATACCTTAGTTTTGTCAGACCGATACCCTAGTTTTGTCAGACCGATTCCCTGGTTTTGTCAGATCGATACCCTACTTTCGTCAGACCGATATCCTAGATTTGTCAGAGTGATATCCTAGTATTGTCAGAGTGATATCCTAGTTTTGTCAGAGTGATATCCTTATTTTGTCAGACTGATACCCTAGTTTTGTCTGACCGATATCCTAGTTTTGTCAGACGGATATCCTAGTTTTGTCAGTGATATCCTAGTTTTGTCAAAGTGATATCCTGGTTTTGTCAGACTGATACCCTAGTTTTGTCTGACCGATATCCTAGTTTTGTCAGACGGATATCCTGGTTTTGTCAGAGTGATACCCTAGTTTTGTCAGACTGATACCCTAGTTTTGTCAGACCGATACCTTAGTTTTGTCAGACCGATACCCTAGTTTTGTCAGACCGATACCCTGGTTTTGTCAGATCGATACCCTACTTTCGTCAGACCGATATCCTAGTTTTGTCAGAGTTTTGTCAGAGTGATATCCTAGTTTTGTCAGAGTGATATCCTTATTTTGTCAGACTGATACCCTAGTTTTGTCTGACCGATATCCTAGTTTTGTCAGTGATATCCTAGTTTTGTCAGAGTGATATCCTGGTTTTGTCAGACTGATACCCTAGTTTTGTCTGACCGATATCCTAGTTTTGTCAGACGGATATCCTGGTTTTGTCAGAGTGATACCCTAGTTTTGTCAGACCGATACCCTAGTTTTGTCAGACCGATACCTTAGTTTTGTCAGACCGATACCCTAGTTTTGTCAGACCGATTCCCTGGTTTTGTCAGATCGATACCCTACTTTCGTCAGACCGATATCCTAGATTTGTCAGAGTGATATCCTAGTTTTGTCAGAGTGATATCCTAGTTTTGTCAGAGTGATATCCTTATTTTGTCAGACTGATACCCTAGTTTTGTCTGACCGATATCCTAGTTTTGTCAGACGGATATCCTAGTTTTGTCAGTGATATCCTAGTTTTGTCAAAGTGATATCCTGGTTTTGTCAGACTGATACCCTAGTTTTGTCTGACCGATATCCTAGTTTTGTCAGACGGATATCCTGGTTTTGTCAGAGTGATACCCTAGTTTTGTCAGACTGATACCCTAGTTTTGTCAGACCGATACCTTAGTTTTGTCAGACCGATACCCTAGTTTTGTCAGACCGATACCCTGGTTTTGTCAGATCGATACCCTACTTTCGTCAGACCGATATCCTAGTTTTGTCAGAGTTTTGTCAGAGTGATATCCTAGTTTTGTCAGAGTGATATCCTTATTTTGTCAGACTGATACCCTAGTTTTGTCTGACCGATATCCTAGTTTTGTCAGACGGATATCCTAGTTTTGTCAGTGATATCCTAGTTTTGTCAGAGTGATATCCTGGTTTTGTCAGACTGATACCCTAGTTTTGTCTGACCGATATCCTAGTTTTGTCAGACGGATATCCTGGTTTTGTCAGAGTGATACCCTAGTTTTGTCAGACTGATACCCTAGTTTTGTCAGACCGATACCTTAGTTTTGTCAGACCGATACCCTAGTTTTGTCAGACCGATACCCTGGTTTTGTCAGATCGATACCCTACTTTCGTCAGACCGATATCCTAGTTTTGTCAGAGTTTTGTCAGAGTGATATCCTAGTTTTGTCAGAGTGATATCCTGGTTTTGTCAGACTGATACCCTAGTTTTGTCTGACCGATATCCTAGTTTTGTCAGACGGATATCCTGGTTTTGTCAGAGTGATACCCTAGTTTTGTCAGACTGATACCCTAGTTTTGTCAGACCGATACCTTAGTTTTGTCAGACCGATACCCTAGTTTTGTCAGACCGATACCCTGGTTTTGTCAGATCGATACCCTACTTTCGTCAGACCGATATCCTAGTTTTGTCAGAGTTTTGTCAGAGTGATATCCTAGTTTTGTCAGAGTGATATCCTTATTTTGTCAGACTGATACCCTAGTTTTGTCTGACCGATATCCTAGTTTTGTCAGACGGATATCCTAGTTTTGTCAGTGATATCCTAGTTTTGTCAGAGTGATATCCTGGTTTTGTCAGACTGATACCCTAGTTTTGTCTGACCGATATCCTAGTTTTGTCAGACGGATATCCTGGTTTTGTCAGAGTGATACCCTAGTTTTGTCAGACCGATACCTTAGTTTTGTCAGAGTGATACCCTAGGTTTGTCTGACCGATATCCTAGTTTTGTCAGAGTGATATCCTAGTTTTGTCAGACAGGTACCCTGGTTTTGTCAGAGTGATATCCTAGGTTTGTCAGAGTGATACCCTAGGTTTGTCTGACCGATATCCTAGTTTTGTCAGAGTGATATCCTAGTTTTGTCAGACAGGTACCCTGGTTTTGTCAGAGTGATATCCTAGTTTTGTCAGAGTGATACCCTGCCTTTGTCACACTTAAAACCAAATCTTGCATAGTCTCGATTTACTTGTTATCTCCCTTTGATTAAATGCCAGTTGATCACATTCTCTATGATATTGTGATATGTTGATATTAAGACAAGGAACAGAGAGAAGGAAAATTTAACCTGTCGCGTTGGACAGTTGTACTATTGCAATAAGATGAAAAGGCTAGACAGATATGACATCATTTACGTAATGG